ATTGAATTCTTCTTATTAATATTTTCCTATTAAAAAATTAACTCCCATATCAAATGGGTTAAAAATTGTAGACAATACCATAAGGACTTTCCATGTTAATTAATCCAATTCAAAATTGTATTTACTAACAAGACTTTATTAATATTTTATATAACATCTTTTATATAAAATAAGTGCTAATTATATATATATTAACCAAGAGATATAATTTCGTTTTTCTATTCTAAATAGAATATTTCAATTTGTTCACAATATTAATCATATCATGTGTGCTAGCAAAGAATATAATAATATTTTATTTGGACTAATAACTAAATTTATTTGACTAATTAAATTCTTTAATTTAATTATCAAATAATAAAGCAATTAATCCTTTAGCAAAGATCAGAACACTCGTTAGTGTGCGACTCCATAGATTCAATACTAAGCCGGTGGTAAATTGATCACATCAATATACTAATCAAGGGTGGCGTCTAGCAACACTCCTTAACGACCGGATAACATGAAGTATACAATTTACTCTCAAGAACCTGTAGAGGAATAATGTATTAATTTCTTCTGTCATTATAGCTCTAGGTTACCCTAGGATATGGTTCAACTGTCAAATCCTAATAGGCGACCAACTATGTGTTCATGTCAAAATATAATCAACCATTGAATGACCTAAGAAACTCTTTTCTTCTTTTATTCAATCGCCTTGGCCAAGGTCTTAATTTGGTCGGTTATAATTCATGACAACATGAAGCTTAAACTCATTACCAAGAGTTGACAGATTCCATCTTGATCAATCACTAATTCTACAAGTATTTAATCATACTCAATATCCTTTCAACTATCGCCCTAGGGACATAGGTGTCTAGTAGNATATATATATATATATATATATATATATATATATATATATATTATATGAAATAACGTTCACAAAAAAAATATGTTCAAATCATCAAATATGACATTGGATCTAGAGCATATCTAATATATCTCTAACAGTTTGTACCTTCACTGACCAAAGAAATCAAGCCAGACAAAGACAAAATAAATTGAAAAGTCAAAAAATATCATACAATGACTCTTGGTTTTCTAGTCAGCTACATTAGAGATGGCTTTCTAAGATGTCGATTTTTTTGTGGAATCGGCTAAGATCTTACCAACCCGCTCCCAATCTCGGGGAATGCCTCGAGAACTAAGTTTCCAGGAAAAAGATAAGTAAATTGAAACGAAGAAAGGAACTTATGCTCGTCATTTCAAGTTTTCGGGAAAGGATGGCGAGTATCCGAATAAACTAGACTCTGGGTTGGACATCAACAAATCTTTCATACCATCCCCCGTCATGTTCATCTTCAGTATCAGAGATAAGAGATTGTTTGTTTCGGGAGTCAATTGTGAATACCCCACCTTAGTAGAGTTTTAGGGAGTATAGATGCAAGAAATGGTTAAGAGTGAATAAGAACCCAAGGCATGCAACTAATATCTATACCCTTGTACCCACCTATGCCAAAAAAATATTGTATCTCCGGCATGAAGCTTCAATTACTGGATCAATCGGAGATTCGAAACCAAGAGTAAATAGATATACATACTCGAAAGACAAACTAGAATGATGAGTGGTGATCCAATCATTTTCCTAGGCAAGAAATGTTTGAATATCTTCTTTCAATTTACGGTCTTCCCGAACAATAGGAAGTTGCTCTCACCAAATCACCCTAGGATATTCTTCTACTAGAGTGTTCTAATTTCTAGGCTGCTTCTCAGTTTTGCTCCGAAGCATGCAATCCAATTTGGATTCAGTTTCTTTAGATTATCTGCGAAACAGAAGGTTTGTGATGCTTTCTTGTCTATGGTACTTCGTCTTCTTCTTCTTCTTCTTCTTCTTCTTCTTCTTCTTCTTCTTCTTCTTCTTCTTCTTCTTCTTCTTCTTCTTCTTCTTCTTCTTCTTCTTCTTCTTCTTCTTCTTCTTCTTCTTCTTCTTCTTCTTCTTCTTCTTCTTCTTCTTCATCAACATTATCGATGATAGCCGAAAAATGCATCTCAATGGCATCAAGACTAGGAAAGGTAGAGGTTTCAGCCACTTGAAGGTTGCAGTTTTGATAATCCATGGCAAGAAATTGAAACGGAAGATAAAATTGGAGAGATTCTAAAAAAATACAAGGGTTTGAAAGAAGATTGCGACTGGTGAAATATGAAGGAGTTGAGAAAATCAGAAGATTAAGTCATGACTAAAGAAAATGAAGGTTTCTTATAGGCACGAGAGTTATCATTTCCCCGGCAACTGATGATGACATCAACTCCAATTGGAATGTGCCATATGCCTTGAGCGGTAAATGAAAGTGCATCAACTTCATAATGGGGTGCTTAAAATATTTTCACTTCCCGGAGACTTCTCGAATATTCGAAAAGCAGGGAGATTATATGTATTAATAAAATACATATCTGACGCGTGGCTAGCAAAGAGAACAATACATGGTATGATTTTTTTTAGTCAGCGTCACTTCACTCACGGTTACTTTCATCAAAGATTAAAAATTCGTAGAGTTTTTTTTGTAGATCTAGAAAGTTACCCCTAAAGTTTCATTGAGCAAATCAGACCAAGGAAGATCCGGAACCAACTTTTCAAGGAGTGTGAGTGTTCACCATGGACCAATAGACTCCAAGGAAAGCGGGATCCCCATTAACCATGACTATCAATTAAGCCCCAAATAATTGTAACTAACGAGATTTGCTCTTATCTCGGATTATAGGCAGAAAAACAATGCAAATATGGGGGAGTAGTCGTTATTTTTGTTTAAAGATTAAGACGTCTCAATATGAATGCACATCTGAATCTGAATATTAAAATGTGTATTAATATTTGAATACTAAATAATTAAGACAATTTATTTTCTCAACATCTGGATATATAAGATTTATATTTTGTTTTAAAATTAGTAAATAGAAAAAATAAAGAAAGTACTAACTACTTTAATATTTTATTAATAAAATATATTTTTTAAATAATATGACAGTTGGTGGTGGTGGTAGTGGCCAACAAATGGTGCTAGTGGATGTCGATCGGAGGCGGTAGTTGGTGATAATTCTGGGTGGTATCTAGTGGTGATTGGTAGTGGTAATTTCGGTTGAGGAAGGTGATGGTGAGTGGTAGTAGTTTGTAATAGTGAAAAGTGTCGGCTATGGTTGATGATGGTGGTGGAATTGAGATGGGGGGTGGGTGGTTGTGGTTGAGGATGATGGTGGTGGTGCTAATTGATAATGACGAGGGTGGTAGATGGTGGTAATCGATAATGGTAGGGGTGTGTGTGATAGTAGTCAATAATGTTAGCCATGACGGTTATGGTCGAGGATGGTGGTTGAGTACGGTGGTGGTGGGTGGTACATGATGGTCGGTGATAATAGTAGGTAGTAATTGAGCGATTGCGGTTGGTGGTGGTGGTTGAGTACGGTGGTGGTGGGTGGTGCATGATGGTAGGTGATAATGGTAGGTAGTGACGGCGATTGCAGTTAGTAGTAATGTGAATGATAGCATCTTAATAAAATTAAGTCTTTATTAAATCTTAATCATTTAGGACTATTCAGATCTATTGAGTAGTTGTGAAATAAAAAAATAAACACACTTAATCTATGAGATCTGAATAATTATGATTTAGCTTCCATTAAATGCAATGAGGCGTTACACTAGATTGTCATTATGAATACTCCCTTACCCCACGATTGTACCTCATTTTGAATTCTCATTCCTATTGTTGCTATCTGAAATTACTATTGGTTCAATTATTCTAAACACCACATCAACTATAAATTTTCTTAAGAGGATTATGAACAAGAATCTCTTTACTTCTTTTTTTTCCGCGTTACTTTGTTCTCATTTGCGTGTTTATCTCAGTCGTCTATTTTTTATTGGCAAAAATCAACTTAATTAGATTAAATCAATTGGTTATGGCTTTATTATAGCAATTTAATTTGTTTAACATATTAATTGAATTTTAGGTTAAATAATTTCCCTTTCCTACCCTTGATGTATAATATAGTTATACAAAGTAATAAGCAGGGGTATTAATGAATATTTAAAAACCGACTAAACTGATCGAACCATACCGCACTAAATCGATTTTTAAGTTTCTTTTAATAAAATCATAGGTTTTATATAAATTTATAACCGTACCGATAATTAGGGTAGATTTTTTTTATTTATGAAATAAACCAGAAAAATACTGAATCGTACCGAAAAAATTTACATAGGAAAAATATTTATATATTAAGTATAAAAATAGCAAAGCATTAAAATTTTCCTTGGACCTTGGAATTATGAAAACAGTTACAAACCAATAAGTAATTTAACTCAAAATCATAATTCCCAAATCTTATTATACTACTCGTATTGAAACTAAATTATTTCCAACATATTCACTAGCAAGACACAAGGTATTCTAGCGAATATAGCAAACTAGCTACAATATATTGAATATGTTTCCTTTCGTATGATTTAAATTTATATTTTCGAATATTTAATCTTCTATATACTTTATTCTTGAGCTCCAGCTTGCTTAATATCTTTCTACTCATATAATTTATATTTTATTTGTCTTTGCTTAGTTTCCTTTATGCTACTATAGAATAGTTGATGGATTTATACTTTCATCATCTTTCACCTTTTCTTAATTCGTCACCCCGTAAATAGTAAACATACTTAGAGAGTTTTGTTAAGTCTAAAAGTACGTATGTTATTGCATTCTGTTTTTACTAGTAACTTTTAAATGACATTTAAAAAAATACTGAAAATTAATTGAACCGTACCCATACCGAAGAAAAACCAATATGATTGGTACAATTTCTAAAAGTATAATTTTGATTATATATAATTAAAATATTCAATAAGTTGGTATAGTACAAATTTGATAACACCATAGTAATAAGTTTTGAAAAAGATATGGTAAGAAAGTTTCATCCGGTTTATGGTTTATCTGACAATGCACAGCCGTGTTTTTAAGTACATATACTACACTAGGGTTTATGCTTATAAGCTTGTCGCGCATTCCTCTCAATCCAGTTTCCCTAAACAACCATGGCTAAAGAAAAGAAGAAGAAGAAGCTCGAGCACCAAAACCCTAGCCCTAGCAAACCCGCCGATGAAGAAGCAGAACAAGAAGGCAGAAATGATACACAATACTCCCAACATCAAGAAATTGACAAAGTAAAATCCGATAATACGAAGAAGAAAAAGAAAGAGAAGCAGCTTGCTGTGACAATTGAAACCATCGCTGAAAGCCCTAATAAAACATCTCCGATTGTTGGTTACTTCTCGTCGGGTTATGACCCGTTAAGGAACAATGACAGCAATGCTCAGTTATATAGGAATGTGAAAAGGAACAACCGGTTACAGCTTGTGGTGAGCCCGAACGGGGCGCCGGTGGATTTTGTAGGGACCAATTATTCCGGTGAGGCAACGTCCGCTCAGTTATGCACTTACTCGCTTGGGGTGCTGGATAAGGAAACCCAAACTCTCAAGATTGTACCTATTGCTGCTAACAAGGTACATTTTTTATTCCTCCAAGCTTGTTTTTTTTATTGGTATTTTTCTTATGATGGTGTTGGGCCAACTCCCGCACGCCTCGACTATTCACCAAATACCTGAAGGCTTAGGTAGATGGAATGAAATCATCATAGTGTTTTTTGCCTCCGCCGGATTTGAGCCGAGGACCTCATGGTTCTTTTCTCACTTCATTGACCAATTTGCCACACCCTTGGGTGCAAAAAAAAAAGTATTTTATCAGTAGGAATTATCCCTGTTTTAGCAAACAATGTCAATTTGTTTTCTCTCGGCCATTGTCTTTGATTGATGAGTAAAAAAAAGCTATCATGTTAGAGGAATTATCCCCCATTGCTTCAAACAAGTTGAAGTTGATTCAGAAGGTTTTTGTTGTTCGATAGGGGAGTAAAATGTAGGATTTAATATTCTCCATCGCAGCAAACAAGGTAAATGGTTCTGATGGATATATTGTGTGATTGGTGAGTAAAAAGAAGGTATTTTACTTCTTTGGCTGTGATTGAGCAGAGTAGTTTTTGCTAATTGGCTCCTTCTGATCTTATGTAGATACTCAATCAGAGATGGAAATATGCTTTTCTTTTCTCAAATCCTCTGGAATGAAAAAATATCAAATCCCAGTCGAGCTAACGCAATTAAGTAATTAACAGATGTCTGAATATGTTAGATTAACACAATAATTAGCACAGTCCTGCTGAGATATATTATTAGGTTAATGCAGTAATTAATTAATTAACAGAATTGTTAGATTAACACAGTAATTAACATAGTCCTGCTGAGATATTATTAGATTAACATAGTAATTAACAGATGGTGTGAATATGTTACGGATAGTTGTCAAATTCGGATGCCACTCGAACTTTGATTTTGGGGCCGGGGGCATTTATTGTAATTGATCTGTATCATTCTTATAATTTTGGTTGAACGAAAAGGAAAAAGGGGTGAAATTCGTTTGATTCATTGTTAACACGAGATATGCTTATCTCCCTCCCACCAAGATAGGAAATTACAAACGAGAATGTAGTCTTTGTTTTCCAAGATTTTAGTTCTGGAGACAAGTAGAATCTCTTCATTCCATGAATTAGTAGGTGTATGTACATGTATCAATTAAGTGAATTTTGTTGTGGTAGGATCAATTTGATAACAGGAAAAAGCAATTTGAGTCATGTGATCATTAAACAGAGAGTTCTTGCTTTGCTTAACATAGTGTTATGTGCTTCCCTGTGTGCTAATTTGTTTGGTTAAGGCTTCTTACGAAGGAGATTTATGTATGCTTACCATTTTGAAATGCTTAGAAACTGGAATGTTTGTTCTACTTTACATACATGCAGTTTGTTGCCTAACCAATAGTTGTAATATTATCTAAGCTATCACACATCTTTGGTGATCTTGTAAGTCCTAATTTTAAATAACGATAAGCAGGCGATGAGTGCAATAGTTGTTTTATTATTGATATCTTATTCTCTTTTATATTTGCTGTCTTATGATTGCAGATAATTAGGTTGGAACCTAGAGTTAGAGGGTCAGATGCACCGGAAAATGAAGATCCAGATACAGTCAAGCAAGAACTCACTGCAGAAGAGAGGACTGACAAAATGAGAGAATTAACTCAAATGTACTCATCAAAGAAATCTATAAGACAGGTATATTCCTCCCATTTTTCCCTACGAATTATGACATGCACGGGGAACATTGTGGAGAAATTCTCTACTTTTTTCTTTGCATGAAACAAGGAGATTTTTATGTTTAGTGACAAAGATAATTTGTGGAAAAATTCTCTACCTTTTTTTTTGGAGTATTTCCATCTTTATATAGTTATGATGTTTGCTTTCCAGGCTAGGAAGCTTGATTCGCTACGTCAACAAGAAGATACTGGAAATCAAGAGGAATTTGACAGGAATATAGCCGGGGCAATAAACAAAGAGGCTCTTGAAGTAGCCGTTACCACAGATAATGCTCGAAATATACCACCACATGATCTGGCAGCCACGGCGCCAGAGTTGGCATATCCACTGAACAGGATTATTCTCGAAGGAGAGTGGGATTATCTTTTGGATGTTTTGAAGCTCACAGAAGCTGGAGCAGAAATGAAACCTGATCTTTATCCAAGCTTTGTTTGCAACAGATCCTACAAATTGGAACATATACAGGTAAACAAATGATTGAAATTTCATATTGTGAATGAATCATGAGTTATGTGATTTATGGATTTTTGTAAAATAAAGAGTGAGTTTCTGCTAGTTTGAGGGCACAGAGCGCAAGTTGATTGCTCACTTGCTTTCTTGCACTATAGTTAATTTGGTGCTGCTTTTTCCTACCTTCTAATATTCAATGTTAGCGCCAATTCGGGGCTATCCCCCTCTGGTCCTTAAAAGTTTTGAATTTGAAACGGTAAGCAGATCTAATGTGGTCCTGTTTACACTACAGTTGGATTTGATGTGCATATATTGATTATTATTGTTTTTTCCAGTGTGACGAAACTCGTTCTTTATTGTAGAATGAAGAGGAGAAGAGAAGACTGGCAGGCATATTATCATACATTACACATCTTGTTAAGTTCAAGGATAAACATTCTATGGATGGTGTATCATCTGCAAAGCATCACAAGATTCCTGGCATGTTGTTCCAGAAGTTCTCTTCAATGTTTGCTGTTCCAGATTCTAAAAGGATTCCGGATGAAAAAAAAGCTCTTCTTATCAACTACGTGTTGGTGCTTACTCTCTTCGTTGATGATTTTCGTAGCGATCTATCTGATATAGCCAAAGATTTAAGAATGGATATTGGAGCATTGCGACCTCACTATGAGTACTTAGGTTGCAAGCTTGTTCGTGAGAAACATGTATTGTTGGCTACACTTCCCGTTCCACTGAAATTTCAAACTGTGAGGAGGAAGCGAAGAAGGTAGATTCTCTTTTACATAGTTACAGGAGTAATGGAGAAGAGCCAATTCAGCCAACAATACATGTTTGATATTGTTTGATATTCAGCCAATCCAGCCAATTCAGCAGTGCGAATGAGGAGGTGATTTTCAGCTTACCTATATTAAAACAGGAACATGTTTGATATTTGAGATCTGATGAAGTACAGTATGTTCTTCATTACAAACCTCAGATCTTCCATGATGTCGTATTTGTTTGCCATCAATTTTGAAAACCTATTTATTGAAAGTTGAAACTTGACTTTCTAATAGGAAGAGTTGTAATGAATGGTGCATGGATATCATACATCACATTTGATTTGCAGTTGTCAAGTTATGCAAATACAGTAGCTAGCTTTTTAAGGTTACGTTGCTTTCACCGGTTTGTTAAGAAAGGTTTTCGAGTTTTTTAAAAACTAAAAGAAAAATCCTGCTGAAATAACTTGTTTGTGTTGCTGAAAAAGGTTTTACATGTAAATCCAGTAGGTGCCTCCTAATAGCCAACTGAGATGTATCAGTGTACATATTCTTCTGTAGTTATCAATTAAGGCTTCCTTCCGACAGGTGATGCTATGTTCATTTCCTTCTATAATTTGTCAACTGGGGAAAACAAAACTGGAAATTGTTAAAAATATAAATTCTAGGTTTTCTGTCAAATTAAAAGTAGCTAAGGTCCATATATCAACTGTGCCACTTCCAATAACTCAGCTAATGCGAAAACTATTACCCTTTTGATACTATTTGGATTATTTTAAGTTCTTCCAGCAGTCCTTTGGCTCAACTATGGGCTCTACTAACTGTCAAATGAAGTGCTTATAGAGTACCTTGAATGCACAAATTTCAGGTTGAAATTTCGTGCTTCACATAATGATGTACCATAAACCAATAACAACTGCACTTCAATCTCAAACAAGTTGGTCCGCCTATATGAATACACATGGTTCATGTCCTCTCCATTTTGTGCCCATCTCGAGTCGATACTATAAAAAGGTTTTTCTAGCACAAGAAGTTCTCTACACTTGCTACAGGGATATAAATCTCTAACAATTAAAATTCCTAGCAAACATTTGGACCTGACATAAGCACACTAATATTAGAACTTAATCCAGATTAATTGGTATACTATCACAAATTTGTGTCGTCAGCACAATCAAATATCCCAACTTCATTAGCTGTTTGCAAGAACACTCCTGGAACCAGCTGAATTCCAAAAGGAATATCAACCCTGTAATTACACCAATAACTTAAGCGAATTATTTTTTTGCTCAGAAAAAGCATAAAGAAAATTCAAGAACTAGAAATTACCTCTTTTTCAGCTAATATATCATCAATGTCGTAATAATTTGCCATCTTCCAATGAAAGAAAAAACAGAACTTTTCAACAATTTGTTGCTGAAATTGAAAATTTTGAACAATTCAAACGTAAATTCAGATAAGCTCCAAAAAAAAGAAGAAAATAGTACGAAAATTAAGGAGAAATTAAGACATGTTCCATCAATTCTGAAAAAACAACTGAACAGAAGAGAACTAGCATGACTAAATATAAACTAATGATGACCTCACGAGATCGCAGTAATTACTTGGAAATTATACTCCTAATCGTTAATATGGTTAATTGGTATTGTGGTTCATTACAAATTTTATTTCATTTTATATTAAATATTCCTAGAAATTTTTATTTTTGCATGTAAGGGATCTGAAAATAAAACATAAATAAATCTTTGTATAATTTTTTTCTATTCAAATTGTAAATAATATATTGAACCATTTTCCCGTAAGTCGTAAATGGTTATATTAAATTGTAAACAATTAGTAATATAACTTGCTTTGTATGGGATACCCTTTTGTGCACTTTTTTCTGCATGCAATTATTCCAGGTGCGTCTTCTACACACGCAAAAGTTTACATAATTTTTTACAATTTGATTGCAATTATTCCGGATACATACACATACATTTAAACTCACGTATTCCAGGGTATTGTATAGTGATTAATAAAATTGGTGTAAATCTTAGAGATTAGGAGTCAAATAAAAAATACTACTATGTGATTTCTTTCATCTTAAAGTTACCCGTGTTGAATATTGGGTCATGGTTTGCTCATAAATATAAGGGATTTTTATAAAGGAAGTTACTGCAGAAAAGTTATGATACAAAAAGAAAAACTACCTCTACATGGAACGTGGAACGTGTAAAATAAAGAGGTTGAAATCAATTTTTGCAAAAACTACTACAACTCTTTTGTAAAAAGCAAAGGGACGTTCTTGTTAGGACCCAAAAAAATCAAGTGTCATGCGGAAGCCAGCAAAGCAAATCTTGAACGACGATAAATCCAACAATAAAGAAAAATATATCAAAAGAGACACAAACATATAACATGGTTCGGTCAACTGGCCTACATCCACGGCGGAGATGAGCAATCCACTATAATAAAAGAGAGTACAAAATATCGAGAGAACAACCTCATGAAGAGGCAAACACAAGTGACACACTAACACTTGTCCCGTGAAGTTCTCCCCCTAAACACGACTCTCAAACCCTTATGGCTACATTGTGGATGCTACTGAATGAGAATGACGTATCCTGAATTTATAGAAGTCCAAACTTTTTCCTACAAGAAAATGGACTAGCCAAATATGGAAGAATTATATTTTCCCTCTAGGAAAAGAAAAACCTAATTATGGTAAATATGTTGTCATTTTCTTCATGAGATAGGAAAACCAATTATGATAAGAAAATCTGGACAAACACCTAATAATTCTCTACTTGATATAAGGTTGTCCAACGAGATAGGACGGAATGGAACAAATATACCGGAATGAGATGGAAGGGAACAAAATTTTACCAAAACGGGATGGGAGCATGCCTTATCCGGGACGGGATAAATGGGACTACCCTGTTGGTCCGTCCCGTCCCACTAACAAACGGGATGGGACGGGACATGACCCCTAAGTGGACCTTTTTAAAGTAATTCTAAATTTAAATATTTAAGCACTAAAGTTGGCAATGGCTATTTTTTTTTTATAAATAGCAACGATAATTTTTTTTAAAATTGGTAATGACTAATTTTTTAAAGTTTGCAACGGCTAGTTTTTTTACCTTTTGATGAACTTAAAACTTAATAAAATATAAAGAAGCTAAGTAAAGGATTATAAACTATTAAAACAAAAGATTTGTAGCGCAATATTTTAGTAATTGTAATAGACTTGTAATTTATTTAATATAATCTCAAGCTATAAAATAACTAAGTAAGACAATACATTAAAAAAAATCAAGGCTAAAGCTGTTTATTTTATTTAATAGAAATTTCAAATTTTACACACATACAAGTCTTTGGAGGAGCATATAATCTACACAGCAACCTTCTATGAAGGATTTTGTTTGAACTAGGCCTCTTAGTAGCTAATTAAAAATTATCATACTAATATATGTAAGCTCCTATATAGCTTTGTATTAACTTATCTATAATATATGTGGGACATTCTTGTGGAATTAGCAATGTCACTTGATGTTCCATGAGTTCCATGCCATCGTCGCTGTAGTTCAAAGTATCTCATTGTATTCTTTTTCTCTAGTGCTTAATTTTTCAAAATCAAGATTTCTTCTTTCTGAATTAATCCAATCTCTGAATAAGACAGAAACATATATGATGTCCTTTGCTAATTAATGTCTCTGATCTCCGAATTGAAATCTTTTCGCGCTAAAAGCACTATCCTATGCTACTAATGATGCTTGAATAGCCAGTATATCTCGGGCCATTGTTAAAAGTGCTGGAAATACCTTACCATTCCCCCTCCACCATGCTAAAAGTTATTTGTTGCCTTCTTCGTATCTAATCCTTAATTAAGATAAAAATCACGTTCATCATCAATAGAGGAATCAAGTCCTATTAAATCCTCCATACCTTTCCACACATCTTCTATTCTAGCCTTAGAAGTAGTAGGAGCATTTACACCATCTGAAGTTACCATAATTTTATAATTATCAAATATTATTCTAGCAAAAACATATATGCTAGCTTGACAATCTTCTAGAATTGGTTTTTCATTTTCTTTAATTTTTAAATTTTCATAAATTTTACGAACAAATCCCTTTTAATTTTAAAGATGGGTTAAGTATAGTTGCACTAAAATAAACTTGGGAAATAGGAAGGAAATATTTCTTAAATTTAAAAATTATTTCATTAATGTGGCTGGTGCATAGTCTTTATTTTTTTATACTTAGAAAATACAACAGAAATTTCACAAATATACCATAATAAATTATTTTGTCGCACAATAAAATTTTTCTAAAAATTTAGCAAGCTCACGGATGTCATGCCAATCAGACTCAACAATTTGATCAACAGGGTTAGTACTATGCATTTGAAATATCATTTGTATAGCAACCGATACACATAAGTAAATTTAAGCATTTCATAAGTAGAATTCCACCTAGTACAAACATATTTTGAGCTTTTATCCATAAAGTTGTGTTTATTATTTAAGTGCCTGATTAAACCCCCTTTCCACCTGATTTTCCACCCATACCATGTGCAAATTATGCTTTACATTTTATAGAGGTAGCAACTAAAGTGACTTTATCTAATTCAAAAAAAATTCATACAAGTGATGTTCTCATACGTTCAGCTTTAGTCTTACCCTTTACAGAAGGTACGGGGGAGGGGGAGGGGGTAAAGCTCCACACCGAGATTAACTCTGAGTTGGAACTTGTGTTGCTGGACTAGTGGGTGTTTCATCTAATTCTTCTTCCTCACTAGCTCCTTCCTCATTAAAATTAATATCATTGCCAAATTATCTTTGTAAAGTTCCAAGATCTAGTAGTTCTCCTGGATTAATATCATAAAATACGGGGGTTTGGGTAAAGGAAGTTTCATCAACATGAGTCATTTCGTCTGTATGTTTCTAACTCTAGGAATTAAGATGATCAAGATTACTACTACTAGCATCTTTACTACTTTTTTTAAATGGATTGAGCTTGCCAAATACTGTTAGTAGCCATCATTTAAATACAAAAAGTAAACATAAAAATTAAATAGGAAAATAAAACACGTAAAGTAAACACTAAAATGATATGCAAAAATTAAATATAAAAATTAAGAGATGGAATGAGTGTACCGTGATTAAATATTAGAACATGAAAAAATTGCTCCAAATAATTGACGAATTAATTTGAAGCTTAAAACGTACTCCAAAAATTTGCCCAAATACTTAAAACATAGTTGATTATGAGAAAATTGAGAGAATAATATAGATAGAATGTAAGAGATTAGAAAGAGAATGATAGATTTTGTGGGAAAAAAATAAAGGAGGATGCGAGGGATGGGATATTTAT